GTACATGAAATATATTCCATGCACGCAATGGAATATAAGTCGGCCATGAAAAGGCATGCTGTGCTCATTTATGATATGGCAGAGGTGAGCCTTGGAAACACTGTGTGCAGTGAAACCAGTGTCACCAAGGCCCACACACCATATGATCCCATCCATATGAAATGTCCTGAACAGGCAAACCCATAGAGACTGAAAGCAGACTGCTGGCTGCCAAAGGATGTGGAGGGAGGAAAATGGAGAGTGATCGCTAATGGATATGGACTTGTGTGGTTGCAAACTCTGTGAATACACTAAAAATCACTGAATTGTACACTTGAAAAAAGGGTACATGAATCATATCTCAAAAAAGCTATGTTTTAGAGACAATATTCCAGAACAGAATGTTAGAAGCTAAAAAACAGATGGACAAACTGGTAACAGCCCCAAGACAGTTGAATCTGAGCCAGCCACGGGAGGCCTGACCCTATCTACAGAGAACAACCTTCAGAAAGCTGAGGAATTAGGGGCAGGCTCCCTGGCTGCAGCAGTGTGGCAGAGCGGGAAGCCTCTGCATCACCTTACACTGCTCCACACCAGACTGCCACTCACCCCAAACCCTAGGAAGCCCAGGGGCTGATTCTCTGGAGAGGATAAAGCAGAGCTTCCAGGACTGGGGGCTGTAGGCCTAGCTGCAAACCAAGGTACTGAACTGAAAAGAGGGAGGCTAAGCACACACAGGACAGTAAGACCCAGCCTGCGCCTTCCACTGAGCTCCCAGGACACAGGCAGGTCTTTAGCCCCGGGGGCCAGAGACAGGAGAAGCCTTCCCTTGGGCATCTGGACGGAATTCAGAGGTCTCTGCACTCACAGCAGCTCGCTCCCCTGTGAGACCCACAGCCCACAGGCTTGGTACACTCAGAGACCCTCACCAGCTCACTGGGCCTCTACGTTGAAATACGGGCAGACAATCGAGGACCGCATGACGTCTAAGGAAAGCCTCCAACCTTAAAAACCGAGTAATGCACCCTGCAAGAAAAAGAAACAGTGTAGGGAGAAGAAAACTCCCCCACCAAAATCATTAGTCTCCTTAGAGAAATGAGAGAAATTATCATATATGTGAAACAAGGACAGGACATGATTAGAAAGAGAAAAGAGAACAAAAGGTAAATCCTTGCAAATTAAAAACGTGGTATTAGAAATAAAAAACTCAATAAAATGAGTAGAGGACAAAATTGTAAAAACATTCCAAAAAGTAAAGCAGGCTGGGTGCAGTGGCTCACACCTATAATCCCAGCCTTTTGGGAGGCCGAGGGAGGGAGATCACTTGAGGTCAGGAGTTTGAGACCAGCCTGGCCAATATAATGAAACCCTGTCTCTAATCAAAACATAAAAAATTAGTCGGGTGTGGTGGTGGGCACCTATAATCCCCGACTGAGGCAGGAGAATCACCTGAACTCAGGAGACAGAAGTTGCAGTGAGCTGACATCGCACCACTGCATGCCAGCCTGGGCAACAGTGCGAGACTCCGTTTCAAAGAAAAAAAACAGGAAAAAAAAGTAAAGCAAAAAGACAGAGATTTAAAAAAGAGCAGGCACTTCCCAGATGGCCAAATAGGAACAGCTCCAGTCTATAGCTCTCAGTGAGATCGATGCAGAAGATGGGTGATTTCTGCATTTCCAATGGAGGTACCTGGTTCATCTCACTGGGACTGGTTGGACAGTGGGTGCAGCCCATGGAGGGCGAGCCAAAGCAGGGTGGGGTGTCACCCCACCCGGGAAGCGCAAGGAGTTGGGGAATTTCCCTTTCCTAGCCAAGGGAAGCCATGAGTGACTATACCTGGAGGAGCAGTACACTACTGCCCAAATACTGTGCTTTTCCCACAATCTTCACAACTGACAGACAAGGAGATTCCCTCCTGTGCCTGGAGCCGTGGGTCCCACGCCCATGGAGCCTTGCTCGTTGCTGGGGCAGCAGTCTGCAATCGACCTGGGACGAGTGAACTTGGTCGGGGGAGGGGCATCCACCATTGCTGAGGCTGAGTAGGCAGTTCTGTGCTCACAGTGTAAACAAAGCAGCAGGGAAGCTCGAACTGGGCGGAACCCACCGCAACTCAGCAAGGCCTACTGCCTCTCTAGATTCCACCTCTGGGGGCAGGGCATATCTGACCCAAAGGCAGCAGACAGCTTCTCCAGACTTAAACGTCCCTGCCTGACAGCTTCAAAGACAGCAGTGGTTCTCCCAGCACAGCACTTGAGCTCTGATAATGGACAGACTGACTCCTCAACTGGGTCCCTGACCCATGTGTAGCCTGACTGGGAGACATCTCCCAGTAGGGACCAACAGACACTTCATACACGTGGGTGTCCCTCTGGGATGAAGCTTCCAGAGGAAGGATCAGGCAGCAATATTTGCTGTTCTTCAGCCTCTGCTGGTGATACCCAGGCAAACAGGGTATGGGGTGGACCTCCAGCAAACTCCAACAGACCTGCAGCTGAGGGGCCTGTCTGTTAGAAGGAAAACTAACAAACAGAAAGGAATAGCATCAGCATCAACAAAAAGGACATCTACGCCAAAACCTTATCCACAGCTCACCAACATCAAAGACCAAAGGAGAATAAAACCACAAAGATGGGGAGAAACAAGAGCAGAAAGGCTGAAAATTCCAAAAACCAGAACGCCTCTTCTCCTCCAAAGGAACACAACTCCACGCATGCAAGGGAACAAAACTGGACAGAGAATGAGTTTGATGAGTTGACAGAAGCAAGCTTCAGAAGGTCGGTAATAATAAACTTCTCCGAGCTAAATAAGCATGTTCTAACCTATCGTAAGGAAGCTAAAAGCCTTGAAAAAAGCTTAGACGAATGGCTAACTAGAATAATCAATGTAGAGAAGAGCTTAAATGACCTGATGGAGCTGAAAACCACAATACGAGAACTTCGTGACGCATGCACAAGCTTCAATAGCCAATTTGATCACGTGGAAGAAAGTAAAAATTAATGAAATAAAGTGAGAAGACAAGATTAGAGAAAAAAAGAGTAAAAAGAAACAAACAAAGCCTCCAAGAAATATGGGACTATGTGAAAAGACCAAATCTACGTTTGATTGGTGTACCTGAAAATGATGGAGAGAATGGTACCAAGTTAGAAAACACTCTTCAGGGCCGGGCGCGGTGGCTCAAGCCTGTAATCCCAGCACTTTGGGAGGCCGAGATGGGCGGATCACGAGGTCAGGAGATCGAGACCATCCTGGCTAA